CAACAGAAATATCACAAAATAATGTAAAAAGAACATATCTTTACAATTTCTGAGAGTCTCGTGCACTAGAGATAATTTTTTTTACCCGTACAGTGTTGCCATTGCTCGCTTTGAAGTCGTTGAGTTTCTTAATCAAAAACTCATAAATGCTTTACAAAATATGAAATAGATAAAACAAATTCAGATGCCGATATTGGGGTGGAGACGTATGTTATTCAAAATTTGATAGCTCTAGTTATCGTTACTTTATCACAATGCTAGAAACATACATACATTTATGTATATTCTTCATTATTTAATTTCTTTAAATATATTACGATAATATTTGGTGGCAACAATTCACAAAGTGAAACGCCACGATATGCCAATACGAAATTAATAGCCCTTCTGGGCCTGGAAAAAAAAAAAAAAAAAAAAAAAAAACTACAACTTTAATAAAATTATTCACATACATACAAAATTCTCTTAAATTTCACTTCACATGTGAGACTTAGGAGAGAAATGAAACATACGTTAAATATATGCCAGCAGAGAAAATGCTTGCTGATGTCTGACAAAAATCATTGACTGTTCCGAAACATTCTAAGTGCTGTAAATTAATTGAAATGACTGTAAACGACTAACGTTTATTTTTTAGTCGCCAAACGCGAAAGGGGGGATTGTTAGATGTTGGATTATAATGTCCATCATTTAACTTAGTTTCTCTTGACGCAGCCATAGTTCGCCCTTATCGAGGTACGCTGGGATAGCACAATCCCTCTCCTCCACTGCATGTATATATTGTTGCGTGCGTGCCGGTTCGCAATAGATTAAATGCACACAGAACCGATGATAGGGCGATAAAATTTCTTTTACCAAAAGAAACACTTTGCAGTTCTGGAACTTTCCACAAAAAAATACTCGTACAGCTCTTCACAGTATCACAGAGTACAATCAGTAGTTACACTTCAAACTAAATTCAAACTAATGTTAAATGCAACACAATGCAAAGCACATCTAAAGAGCAAAGCGCTAGGACTAGTATCTCAGTACTCGGAATTCAAATTTGAACTAACAACGAGAACAGAGGCTTTCTCTGGTTTTATATAATTTTCACCCTGCCGCCAAGAAATCTCTAGTACTTCTTGAAATTACTGTAAGACATACGAGGGCCAGATACCATTACAGCTACAGAGAGGATCAATTAGTTATACAGGGACCAGACCAGCTTGGCGACTTTTTGCCAAATTTACCCTTTGCCAGCTTGGCAATATCTTGCTTTAACATTGGTTTGTCTATCTTGCTAATTTAGCAAGATAGACAAATCAATGTTAAAGAGCTCCTGTATTCTTAAAGATGTTAAAGATGCTCCTGTATTCTTGTTTTTTTGGCACAGCATCATTTCCTTAGATTTTTCATGTTTCATTATACAGAAAAAAGTACAATTTCACTCAAATTATTTACTTAAGATACAAAATTTGTAACACTATGTGTCTGTATATACAGTGCTTCAATTTCTTTCCTGTGCATACCCATACCCTGTCCATCTAATTAAAATATTGAATAATGTTATAATCTGTCTGGCCCCTTTTTCTTCTTTCATAAAATAATCTATGGAAATCTACTGAAGTTTTAATATTCCCTTTTTTCAAAAGCATTTTTCAAGTTCCAAATAATAGTTAAAACAAAATATATTATTTTACTCTAACATTGCAAATATGGTTTTAAATGAAACTAAAAAATTGAAGTTATTATCTTATTTTTATCATCCTGTATATTTTAACCTTCTGCAGATTGAAACCTTTTGTTCATAGGTATACATACTGAGTGTACTGGCTTTGTGAAAGTGATATGACATATACACCTGTTCAGAAATTGTTCTCTACAATTCACATATCTCCTATAATCTTGATAAAGATTTAACATAATGTAGTTTTTAATAAGCAAAAGGCTGCATTTATTTTGTATACTTCTTAAATTAATCATCAGTGGGAGTCAAAAGCACAGGTATGTTGGTGTATAGAACTTGCACTCTAATTATCCATCTGGTAGATTTCAGTCAGCCTATGAAAGACAGATCTTCCTGCATTATTTATGAAAGGTAGTGATATTTCAGGTTCAGCTTTTTCATACATGGAAAAAAACGTCCTTCAGAGTACACAGCATCCCCATGAAAATTAACAATCAGTATTGCATTGGTATAGATGTCTGTAAATGATCAATACTTGATGACGTACACATGCTCTAAAACTATAACTGTACTACCAATCCCCTCCCCCAAAAAAAAACTTTCTCGTGAAGAAATAATAACGTATACATTAATCAGCATTCTTTTCTGGTCCTGTATATTTATTATAATTTGGAAAACATTTTGTTTATTTAATATCATTCTCACACATTCTTCTGTTTGTTTATACTGTTGTATATATTAATGAATATTTTAATCCTTTTTAATTGTAGTTTAATTTTTGTGTATTATTGTAGTATTTTATTTATTGTTTTCAAAATGGTAATTTCATGGTTTATTTTCTGTTTAATCTAATTTGTGGCCATATGTTTTGTATTTAGGTGTTTATTTGTTGTATAGAATTACAGATCTTTTCATTTTCATTCTGATAGTAAAGGGATTAAAATTATAAAAATAGCTCAATTAGAACTTGAAATTATGCAATTTCTTTGCTAAAGGGCCTTGGTGACATTTGGTGATTTCTCGCTAACTTGGCTACTTTCACCAAGATCAGCCAAAACACAATTTTGAAGACCTGTGACTAATTCTTTCAGAAAGTTTCCAGCTACTCAGAATTTGGGAGAAGCGTGGGTGGAGAATACTAATGTAAACATACTCGGGAAGGAGGGTTCGCCTTCCTTCCCTGTGCTGCACACCACAGAGCAGCGTGGAAGCACAGAAAACTTTGAATTGAAAACTAATGTAAACATTCCTGCAATCAGAAAAATAATTGCAGCTATTACTTATTCCGTATCACTTACTGATACAAAATTAGTGCACATAACTCCAAATGACATGTACATGCACCTAGTTCTGCATGAATCTGTATTTGTAATATATTTGATTTTAATGTTAACTTATTACAGACTTCTTATCCGCATAACTGCACATTTATGTAATTTGCATAGCAATGCTTTTTTTGGTACTGTATATAGTTTTTTCTTTCCCTAATACTCATTCTTACAGTGTATAGTTTACTTCCAATTTGTAGCAACTACAAGTATATGTCTACGAATATTTGTGTTGGTACTGTATATAGTCTCCCCCCCCGATGCTCATTCTGACAGTGTATATATTTTATTTGCAATTTGTAGCAACTATTACACTCATGGTTTTATATCCATGTCTATGAATATTCACACTGTTTTTTTCTTTTCCCATGACTTACAACCTTCAATTGATTATATTTCTTATGTCGTGTTTGATTACCGGCCTAATGGTTAGACTGTTCTGGATTCAGACGTTTCCACAGCCCATGCTGCAGAGTATAAATACAGATCAGAGAGCTAGAAGTTCAATTGTTAATAAGCTGTGAGATTTAGCGATTAGCTGACTACAAGTTAGTCCTAAGAGTGATTTGAGGAACTGTATGATTTATTTTCAGTGCCAAGGAGAAATTATCCACATTCTTCTTGAGTTATTTCCAGCCATACTGTGTTGTGTGCGCTATTCACTGAGCTTAGTTTCCAAATAATTTGTTCATTTTCTGCTTATCTCGCCTCATTATTAAAGATACATCAGCAATCCCACAGCTTGCAACAATATCATATGTGATCTATTTTCAAGTATTTAGTTACAGGAAATTCATTTATATGAAAAGCAGGTAGTGAGAATTATGTTTTTCCATGTATTTGCAGGACAGGACTGCACTTCTGTATAGTATATTTACTAAATGGTTTTCTTATTGTATGGTTTGGCTATGTGTGCACAGTCTGCATATAATATGCAGTCCACCTGCAGTAATCTTTCATTGAAATTGGAGTGTAATTTTTTGTTTTAAACTGCATTGTTCTTTTCAAAATTTATTCAATATCAGATTCTTGAATTGCAGTGGCTGCACAAAGACAAACAATATAACTAGATGCAAATATAAAACCCAATCAAATACAATTGAATTTTAACTTAAATGAAATAATCAGACAACATAAAATTAAGTAAATAAAAGAAAAATAATTAAGGAAGAAAATACATTTATTAAAGACATCACTATCATAAATCTTTATATTTGTTTGCAGGATGAAGTATGAATATATGAGGGGTTATCACATCTAAAGATGCAATGCATGAGGTTAAAAGAAACTTTTCCAAGAAATAATTCGTGTGCCGACTATCATTGGAGGTTTTCTAGCCAAAACATGTTTCATTGAAAGCTGTTTCATGCCTAGCTATGCAGGACTTTTTAAAACTGAAATTGTTTTGTTTGTTTGTCTCATAAGATTTCTCCAAAGAACTGATTTTTGCATACATCAACCTATCAGATATCCAGAAAATAAGAACAAAAATTCCAAAAAATGTTTCAACGTGCTGTTGCGGGTAGCTTGTAGATGTAATTCTGGTTTTAGTACTTACATAAATATTGCCTGATGCTAAACACTGCAGATGTATGTATCACTAAATGTTGGAATTAAAAATGAAAATACAGCCAGAGAAATGATTTTTAACTACAAATAAAGATTAGCATTAAGCTGCATCAATATTATTATTTTGTAAAATGGCATTGTAAAAGGCAAATGCTGTTGATTCAGTTGGCTTTAATATTATTAATGGCTACATTTTTAAACAAAAAAAAAAAAAAAAAAAAAAAAAACTTATCCGATATTAATACTAGCTTACTGAAAATATGTGAAATATACAATATTATTTTTAATGTGTTTAGATTAAAATTGATTGTCCTTCCAAATTTATCAACTGTTTCATATTTAAAGTTTAATAAAAAATTAGCTCTTAAAATTAAAATTTCTTATATACAGTATATAGACATATGCATAGAGTGAAAGAGAGAGAGAGAGAGAAATTTCAAGTTTTAAGAAAACTCTTTTATTAGCACTGCAACAGTGTGTAAAATACAAAAATAAATTATTAAATTTCAATGATAACATATTCTGTATTACAGTGAAACTTATTTACAACAGTAAACAATGATTTCAGACAAGTTTGGCATCCTATAGAAGAGTTTATCTGAAAGAATATGATCATCAATAATATCAAATATATATATCTTTATTAAATTGTGCTCTCAAGAAATACTTCAGAAGTGGTCAGCATAAGAAATTTCACTATATTTTTAATTTTAATATCTGATAACTCTTTAATAATTATCTAATTCTGAAAGTTTCATACTGCACATAAAGACAATAATTAAAGCAGTTCATGCAGCACATAAAGACAATAATTAAATTATTTGTCAGAAATTTATGAAGAAAGATTTTAATTTGAATGGAGAAAATGGATTTTCTAAGAACTGCTTTTCTAGTTAACATATTTTAAAAATAGTGTAACTCATCAGCATTAATCAAATTACAGTTTGAAATAATAATTATGTTAATACAACAACACTTAATGATTAAAAAATTAAGGTACTCTTCTGTTATCGAGACGAGATTCAGAGATATATGTGTGAAAGCCCATATGCAGGTATGTATGTGCATATATGTAATATGTGCATACACACATATGTTCGTATGTAAGTGTATATATATATATATGCATACATACATACATTTCTCAGTCTGGTCCTCATAACAGGACACTACTAAAATTAATGTACATTTTTCAAATATTAATTTGCAACATGTTTATGCTTTTATGATTGTTCAAAATACTTATTGACACATTTCTTTCTGTATATATACGTTTACATGTCAATTTAGTAATGTTAACCATTAATACTCATTTTAAAATCAGACTATCATATATCATACTAAAGATCATTCATACACTCTATGAATAAAAATGTTACATTGTATATCACTCAACACTCAGCAGATCTCAATTTCAATACCCGATTAAAAAAGTTAAGAAAATTATTTAATACTGCAGATAAACTTTGTGATAAGCTTACTGCTCTAAACATATTCAGATTAAACTACTAAAGTGTATTGATTTATATCTAATTATAAAATACCATTTTTTCTTTTAAAAAATTTACATAAGATCATGAAATGCATAACACTCGGGTCATATGTAACTAACAAATGCAAAACATTCAAATATACTATTTTACCACATTGGTTTTACTGTATCAAATGATTTACTGTGTTTATCAACCCAAGGCAGAAGCTTATCTCGCATCTTATGACAAATCTTTGCTAAAGTAATACAATCACCTTCTGAGCTATGACTACCATAAGGTTTTTTACCAAAGAAATATACATGCAAATTTTCTAGGGAAAGAGACAGACGGCCATTTTTGAAAATAACTGCTTTTGTTGGTTTTTGATCGAATGGCAATTCGGGAATCCCCACAGATCTCATTCCATATAATGAATCAGCAATGCGCAAATCTAATGGCAGTTCCAATGCAAGTCGCTTGAATTCAGCTTTCAGAAGTGGATAATCAAATGTACCACCATTGTGAGCTAAAATACATACAGGCTTCTGAAGATGAGAAAGGAAAGAGATAATCATTTGAGCTGCATTTTGATCAAAGGGCTGCTGACCTTCTAAGTTTGAATCATTTAAACCTGTGAAAACAAATAATAATTAAAAAGTTACATAAGAGTTATATTGATACTTTCCAATCATCTGCATCCCCAGTTTCAGTAGAACTACACATTTTGGCATATATTTTAGCATACATGCAACAATAAATATCCATGCATGTGCATACCACATATGTAGATGCACATGTTTTATATTTCTAAATTATGTTAAATAGTATCCACTGGCTATTTTAAAATGAAAATATTAGTTGTTCAGATTTTCCCCCTCCCTAGATAAAATTACTTGTTTCTTATAAAATGCTGCATTTTATTAGCCGTAAAGGTGACCTAACAAATGTTTTTCCTCAATTCACAGTCACCAATCAGTTCATAACTTTTAATGGAGTACAGATAATCAAAAAGTATTGTTACATCCTATAAATATTATAAGTGCTATTAATAACACCACACCTTAGTGAAACATTTGCATAGCATCTAAGATTAATATTTGAGGATTTTCTGATTGCCATGCTTGTAAAACTTATGTTGCTTAATTGCAATAACATATTTAATAATTTATTTACTCATCAAACATTACATTTATTTGATTTATTAATAAGTAAATAATATATTTGGTACTTATGTATTAGTGTTATTACCTTAACAGAAGTCATTAAACTTTCAAAATTGCATTAACCTCTGGCAATCATGTGCATAGGAGTTCATCAGTATTAGCAAATAACATCAGTATTTTTGTATGTATTTTTTTTTTTTTTTTTTTGTTGTATTCAAATAGTTTTTATACAAAATAGTTATATATATTGTCTAAGCTTGATTTTAAAATATGCAATTATGGGATTTGCCAGGCATGGAAGAAATATGTGGTACAATTTGTGCAAGAATGCAATATTTTTTGGTAAAACAGCTAATGAAAGCAATTGTTTTTATTCTATTCTTAAAGGAATTCCACAAAATTTCTACCAGGGAGCGAAGTAGGAAAAAAGCTTTAACTAGGGTCATTGATTTTCAGGATAAATTATATTGTGCATCAGGATAAATTATATTGTGCATAGTAATATGTATATACAATTTAACTTCAAGTGATCAGGAGTTTAATTCATTATATACAATCCAAAACAAAAAATCGATTACCTCATGAAAACCTGTAATAATGAAACAAAAAATAATATTAAGATTTTAAAATATTATTAAGTTTGTGGCCTTCTTTTCCAGTTTTGTTATATGTTAATAAATTTATAAGACAAATTGCTTATCATGGTTCTTATCCTTCCCTCCAATTACACATTTATAACTATAAACTTAATTTTTTCGGCGAAAATATAAAAATACTAAAAACGAAGAGCAAATTGAATTTAACTTTTGTTTAACTTGTGAGTACAAACATGATCCAATTTTCTGCTATGTCAATTGCGTAGATTGCAGGGAAATTTTTATCCATATCTGATTCAAAAACTGAAGATGCTATCACTTTTGGTTTTACAGTTAATGTGTATAAAACTTTATCAATGAAATGCATCACAACTTTGGCATCAGCTATGATACGGAGTTCACTTTGCCTTCTCAATATTTTTATCACTTGGATCTTCACATATATCATTGCATGAGTGAAAAATTATCATTATCAACATTATTATTCAACATTATCATTGCATGAGTGAAAAATGCCATATCATATTTTGAAAATATTAAAACTTAATTATTTATTAAGTTTCAATAATTAATTAACTGATTTTTTTCTAACCACTCAGAGATAGGCAAATCCTCGTTTTCATCTTTTCTCTTCAACAATGTTTGTTAGACCCAGCATACCAAAAAAAATTCTGGATGGCTAATTCTGAAACAAACCACATAGACCTTTTAGAGTGCTAACATTCCATCAAAAAGTGAATTTTGCACCTAATAACTTCCATGGAGATATTCTTATAGTCCATTATATCTGATTTTGATACTTCTGAAAGTTCACAATTTTTTTAACAGTCATTAGCCTTGCACCACTGTAAGAGGTGGAAGTGGTAGCCATTTCATTATGGAAGCACTTAATAGGTGGCCACTATTGCCTTCCTATGAAGGGATGGACAGTTACAACAATGCTTTCTCTGGGATTCGAGCCTGGGCCCATCCCTACGGCAGTCAGGGTTACTAACCACTATACCAGTTGGGCAGCAGAAGTTCACCATAGCAATATAAAATAACATTACATATATAATAAAACTGGATAGGACCAAAAGATTTCTTTCTTTATATCTGTGTGTTTGGTACAGTAGGGTTGTTTTAGTATATGTAATAATACTTTCTTCCAATTATAAGTCATTCATTTCTTCTGTAAAAAATAACCAAACCATTTTAAGATGCTTGTGCTAATGTGGAAGTACTAAATATTATCCTACTTTTGGAAGCAAATAATTAAATAAAGGACAATTTAAAATTTTTTCACTTACTATTTGAATAAAGGAAAATAATTTCTCTTTTTCCTAAACTATAATTAAGAAAATAAGAAGAAATAATATAAATAAGTAAGGAAATAGCACAGCATGAAAATAACTGCTTCCTTGCTTGACAAATATTTTTAATTCAATTATTTGTAACTCAAAGATCTTAATTATATTTTAGTCAAAATCAAATACAGTCAAAAGTCGTTAATCCGGACTCGTCGGGACTTCGGCGATTCCGGATTATAGATCATCAGTTTAAATCTCGTAAGATGGCATGTACAAATTTTAAAATTAAAAATATGAAACCGTATTTTAGGAAATAAAGAACAATTATGATCTAAAGGGTATCAAAATTTACAAAAAAAGAAGCTTAATATTTATTTGTTTACTTTATTAAACATTTCTTTCAATGTAAGTTGTTTCGTTTTATGTGATAATACTTTCTCTTTAATTCTATAAACAGACAAAATTTCTTGTTCAGTTAAAAAGCTCCGCTGTTCAAGTCCCATAATTGCTGTGCCGAGAATACCGACTAACTTGTCAATCGAAATTTTTTCGTTTTCACTAACCTCTCTGTCACCTTCTTCATGTCTTTATCCATTTTTTGCAGCAATTCCACTTTTTGTTTGACGGACATCAAGACATACTTTCGTTTTGTAGATCCTTTGGGAGCTCCAGAATTGGAAATTGACATAATCAAAAGTTCAAGTTTACTTTTATAAAATTGCTCTTACAGTCTGCAAAAAATAATAAGCTGCATCCAATTCGAAGATTAAGGAATAATGCAATCATCAACATTAACTGAAATAGATAATTGTATAACTTTAGCTTATACCGTCCGTTATACGTTAAACGCACACGTGAAACGTGCACACGTAAACGCCTATGCGCATGTGTCAACGCGGCGCATGCGCAGAAAGTTTTTAGCTTTGATCCAGATTATGGGTGTCCGAATTAACGACTTTTGACTGTATCAGCTTGAATGGAATGAATGAAGGTTGCTTACGCAGGAATATTTTTCATGTTTTAAAATCATGCGACACAGCTATTTGTTTTATGAATTATTGTAACAGAGAAAAAATGTCTTTACAACTCCTTTAAAAAATCAAATTAAGAATAAATATCCCTCAGTGAAAGCAAATTGAGTGAAAAAAAGATATTAAAATGTTAAAACCTCTCTTGCCTTTGTTGAATTAATTAACAGTGTAAATAGTAAACTTCAGTATTATGAAACATCATTGGATATCATAATTGGATAACATAAATAATTATACATATCATCATTAAAAAAGTCATTTTTAGCATGATTCTATTTACTGAATATTCAGAATTAATATTTTAATTTATAGACAGTTATAAATAGCAAATTTTAAGAAATTTCTGAGTTCTTAATGATTTTTAAATATCAAATAAAAACACACATATCGCTAAATTAATAAATATTGGGCAACATGCCTGAATATTGAATATATGCCTACTGAATATTAATATATTTTTTATTTATTATTATAATATATAGTAGGGCATGCCCAAAATGCAGTTCAATATCATTAAATGTGCCTCATATCATACAAAAGAAAAAAGAAAAAAAAAAAAAAAAAAAAAAAATTGAAATAATGTTTTAATTTGAAACAGAAATTAAGTTACAACACACTTTTTAAACAATAAATAATTTCATTTTTTAAAATTACATGTAATTTTAAACAGTTTCAAATTGTCTACCATTTCTAGAATTTATTACTGTGGTGATATTACTTTTAGAACAAATGAGGGCTATCAGGTTGGGAAAAACAAATTCATTAGCAACACACTGCATTCATGATTTATCTCAGATCTTACTGAATGGCATTATAAATTAGTTATAAATAACCCTGGAGAGAACAAAATGATCCAGTTTGCACTTAATGAATTAAGTAATTTAGGTTTAGCTTTTGTCTTCAAACTCATGAATAACACACGGCAATACAGAGTGCAAATGCAAGAATCTGAACAAGTCCATCTACAAAAGTACTATATTAATTCACATACTACAAAAAATTCACTGAAGTAGGCATGCCATTTTTAAAATGAGGAAATACGGTGACGAAACATACCTGTAAAAATTACAATCACTTGAAAAAGTTCTTGCTTAATGCAAATACAAAACTTACCAGTTATTTTTGCTGCCATGGGTGAAATTGGACTCCTTGGTCGCACACACAAACTTAATTTGTGAATTATTCTAACATCTCGTAGATCGGGATAATTACTTATTTGAAATTCCTTTTTATCGACGGCTATCATTGAGATCTCCGTAATTTGTACATTAGATTTTCCAACAAAATACCCCAGTCCTGTAGTTTCTAAATCAAAAAACACAAGCGTAGCGATTTCTTTTAGGTCTGATGTATTACTGTCGTCTATTGCCGTCTTTTCTGTAATTGCACTGGATGAAGTTGTAACAGGGATAGATGTAACAGATGCACTGGTTAAAGAAGTAGATAATGACTCAATAACATTTTGATTAACTGAAGGTGACACACACTGATTGTCTGCTAAATCCGACTTTGGTTCCCTTGATGAAATTAAAGTTTCGGATATAAGATGATCATCAGAAGATAAATTTGCAACAGTAGTCATCTCAGCATTTACTTCCGAGTCTGGCATTGTAATGGAAAAATACCACGTTTAAAATTTCGTTGCTCAATAAATAACCTAGCGAAAACATTCACGTCCAAAAATAAACAAAGAAATAAAATGTACAGGAAGAGGAAGTGTTCATCTTCAAACGTGACACAGCCTGCTCATGTCATATTTACATTTATTAGCAGATCGCATTTTATTTATCTGCAGGCAAAGTAGAGAGATGTCTTGTTTTGCATCTGCTAAGTCTTTCTGCACCTATGGGCGAAAAATCAAGCCAAAGAATCTAGCCAAGGACCAAGGAAGGGTTCTATTACGGGGCTCTTAGGCATGTAGCCTTTATCCCCACATCGTCAAAATTATCTTTATCGCCAAAAAGAAGGTTCTGCAAAGAGATAAATTTAGTGCCAAAACGTTAATTTAACAAAAAGAGTAACTGCCTTCTACAGTGAAAAAAGGTAAAAACACTGCAGGACTTAATTTAGTAATTTTAGTGTCGAATAAGGGCCAGAATTAATTTGGAGGGTTTACATCATGAATTTTGAAAAGCATCAATGTTTCCTTGATCAATGGTCATGTGGTGTTAACAACACGAAAGCCGAAATACTCGCAAAAAACTTCATGTCACAACTGCTTCGGGTCTGGGAGGGGGGGAGAAGCGGGACGCGTATTTTTTCTTCCTTCCTAGGAAACGCAACCCGCGACTAAATTTGGCGATTTATCAGGTCTTGGCGAAATTGTCACACCAAGCGCATGCGCAAAAGGAAACAGACAGACAGACAGACAAAGTAGACAGATGCAAGGAGGTTAGAATACATGGAGATGCCCTGCGCGCAGTCCAAGTGAAGCCAAAAAGTGGGGGAAAGCATGCCCTTAGTAGTCGTGGCTTTAGAAAGATTGACGAGCTCTTCAGCCAATGAGGCAGAACCTAGCCACACCCAGTTTCGTAAATTAAGACCGTGGATTCTTCGCGCGCTTTTCCTTCAACTTTTTTCCCGCCATTTTCATTTTATTTCTACATTTTTTCTATCATCTTGTAGACGGCTGCAATATTGTTCCGAGAAGCAATTTTTATTCCTGCCAAAATGGGTAAATTCCTGCATCGCTTTCGGCTGTACAAATAGAAGAATAGCAGGATCCGGTATTACATTTCACAGGTAAATATTCTTTTAACATATATACTATCATTTATTAATTATACTTTGCTCAAAGTTTAGATAAAAGTTTGCTGTGCATGTTAAAACATATCCAAGGAAACGGCTGCAAGTGCTGATAATTGTATCAATTCTAATGATTATCAGGTTATGCAGAGGGAAAATATATGTACAAAGGGACTGATTCCATTAAAATGAGTTAAATGAGAAATGCATTATGTAATTACATGCTGTCATGTCCTTAATGAATGCTAGCAATAAAGGTATTATGAAAATAAATAAATAATAAATACTCAAACCATTAATTGATTATATTTAGTTATTCTAAATATATACAGGTATAATTCTCAATTTTCCATGTTAGAAAAACTACTTACGTTTTGAAAATATTAAATTGCATGAACAATGATAAAAATAATATTTAAATTCTGCATTGTTATTTTTAAAACTCCCACAAATTTCACCCCAAATTAAATCCTGTTATTAATATTTTACTTGACAGAAAATAAAATTAAATACATAAAATATGACTTGTAAATATAATATGATCACACCTTTAAAATAACGCGTTTTCTTTTCCACGATGAGCTGACCACTCCCTTCCCTTGTTTACTTGCCGTTTTGCTTTTACAACTCAGTTAATTACGAGTATATACTCAAAACCATTAATTGAAAAATCTGAGAATTATAGATGTTTCTTCGCGCACTTCACACGAGAAAATACTCAAACTCTTTCTGACGGCTTTTCAAACGCACATTTCAATTATTCTACTTATTTATGCATGTTAAAAAACAGTCTTTTATATGAATGAAATTCGAATGTAGACTATTCATTAATATTCAGACTTTAACCTCTCATCTTCCAAAAATCAGAAAAACCAACTTCAACAGCTTTTTTTAAAAGGAAAATTCCACCGTTCCCCCACTCCCTTATACAGAAAACAAATGATTCACCCTGGTTCTGCACCGATGGGCGAAAAATCAAGCATAGGTGCGAAGGAAAGGTATATAGAAAGAGGGGCAATTTCGTATTTGAGGAGAGTAAAAAGGAACTTCGTACATCTTGTACGAGTTCAAAAGGCCAGGAAGAAAAGATGGGACAAAATAAAATTTAAAATAAATGGCCCAAAAATAATAGAGGGAAAAAAAAAAAAAAAAAAAAAAAGGGCCTATAGAAAGAAAAGGAAAAGAAGTAGAAAATATCCTAAAATACGATTGTGTCCATGAGTGTAGTTAAAAGGAGAAGAAACTGTCTTCATTTACAATAAATAGTGTCTCACAGGTGTGTTTGTGTAGTGAGTGTGTTTGGTAATGGTGAATAGATGTGTTACTGGGGAAAAAACAAATATTGACGGTGTTAAAATGCTTCGTATCAAGGTATTTAGCATGGAATATAAAGTAATATGTATGCTTGCATCCTGAGATATCAACAAAGGTCATCAAACAAAAGTATATATTAATTTAACCAAAGTAACTTATGCTACTTTCATTCTCAACATTTTCATACATTTTTCAAAAAGCAGCAGCAGACTAACAACATAGAACCATATACAATACAAGACCACAACCGCATACACCCAAAAAAAATAAATAAATAAATAAAATAAAAATATATATATATATATATTTATGTGTGTAAATAACTGAGTATATGTATTAAAAACACAAATTAAACAGTATTTATTAATTTAACTATCATAATTTATTACAAGATTAATTATTTTACTATCATAATTTATTACTAGTTAAATAATGTTAATATAACACAATGAGGCACACTGTTATTTATATAAGCTCATAGTTCTAAAAATTCATTTAAGGCGGTGAAGAATAAACCATCCCTTACATATGGACATTTAACAGATAGCAAAGAACAGTATGAGAAAAAATCGGTGAGGTATAATATTATTTAAAGGCGAAACTATATTCAAGCGATCTAGAAAGAAAAGAGAATCCAGAAGATCCGAGAGGGAAATAGCGCGATGCCCAAATTATCCCTCTCATCCCCAAATTTTCCCTCTCTCGAGATTCCTTAAGGGCTTTGTAAGTGTTGACAGACGTGAACTGATAACGCTGGCGTCTGTTTCGAGTTGATACACAAAGGAAGCCACAAGCAATGGCAATTTCAAGTATTTTTTAATGCTTTAAACTGATGAAAAATTAAGATTTATTGATTTAAAGGCACTTATTTATAGAAATTTGATTTAGTTTAGATGAAAGAAAAGTACTTATCTTAAAATTCCAGGCTTTTGGAGTATATCCTTACATTGTCCGCTGTTTTATTCTCGTCAACATCGGAGCCGAAATTCATTGGAATGATATAGGTGTTGTAGAAAAATAAAAACATTTTTCAAAGAAATTTAATTGATAATCACCAAGAGGAAAGGAAAAATTTTCACTTTTTTACGGAGCGCAGCGATCGTGCT